TACTACCGGTTCTGTGGGCGTGGCTTTGTGGGCGTGGCATGGCTTGGTAGGCGTGGCTTGGTGGGCGTGGCAGGGGAAGGATACTGTGAAAACTCCATTCCCACCCCACTCCAGGGGAAGGATACTGTAAAATCTCCATTCTCTCCTGATCAGCTGGGACTCGGGAGGCAGAGAATAGCTAGGGGCGGGGCCAGTCAGAGGTGGTATTTACTGGTTCTCCAAACTACTCAAAATTTCCATTACTGGTTCTCCAGAACTGGTCAGAACCTGCTGAAACCCACCTCTGATGCTACCTCTCTTTCCTTGAATACTACTATTATAAAAAAAGAAAGCACATGTCTTTAGTCAGATTAAATGCAAAACAAAGACATTTGTGTATATGATAATTTGGAATCCACTTTATTGCAATGTTGTTCCCACTAATAGAATATTCTACATTTTTCCATTCACTTTCCTAACTGGTATTCTGTTTTCACCCTCTACCACACAGCATCCTCATTCAGCTGTTCAGTATACAGGGAGTCCTTAACTTACAACCATTCATTTGCTGACCGCTCAAAATTACAAGGTACTGTAAAAAGTGACTTATGACCATTTCTCACATGATGGTTGAAGAATCCCCAAGGTCATGTGATCAAAATTCGGGCACTTGGCAACTGGCATGTATTTATGACAGTTTGTTCTGCCCCAGCTACGGATCCCAAAGAACGCAGCACACACAAAATCTGTACAAACCTTAGTTTACTAAATTAAATCAGTCTTTTTCAAACAAAGGCTGTTAATTAACTTTCTTAACAGCCTACAAGAATCCAAAGAATAAATAATCATAATCTTACTATGGTTGGCAGAAAGCCCAGAAGCAATTTACAGAGAACTAAGATCAAGACGCGAAGGAGAGTGAATGAAGTTGTTCCCTGCAAATTGCCTCAGTCATCATCCTTCCTTAAATAGGCTAAGGAAGTGGCCAATTAGCCCCAAGCCTTACTTTCGAGAAGACCTCCTCCTGAGGAGCCACTCCTGCCTTTTGGCAGCTCTGCACGCTCGTGCATCGAGAAGAGGCTCCTCCTCTTCTTCCTCTTCACTTATGGGAGTTCTGGAGGTTCTGAAGGCCCTGGCTGAATCCCCGCCTCTGGCACCACATCTTCTCCAGCCTCCTCATTGTCTGACTCGAGGGCCAGCTGCATAGGTTGCTGGCACAGCACCACACCAGCTCCCTCACTGTCGGAATTAGCTACTAGCTGCACAGGCTGCTGACGGACCACAACACAGTTGTATTGTCCCAGGATCATGTGATCACAATTTGTAACCTTTCCTTTCAACAAGCGAAGCAATGTTGTGTAGAAATGTATAGTATATGGGGGCAAAATAGTTTATTGTTATGTAGAAATTTATAGTGCACAGGGAGGAGAATAGAGGGGTGGTAAAGTATGATATAATACAATGTGGATGGATTTCACCTTGGGGAAGTCATGGGGAGGGAGGGTTTGGGGGGGTTAGGGAGGGATGGGGGGGGGAAATGGGGGAAAAATTGATGTTTGTAAAACTTTTTCAATAAAAAAACAAAACAAAAAAACAAGTGAAGTCAATGGGGGAAGCCAGGTCTGCATAATTCACTTAAGAGCTGTAATGATCCACTTAACAACTTTGGCAAAAGTGGAGCAAAACTCACTCAACAACTGCCATTAACATAAACTGCCAATTGTGGTCGCAAGTTGAGAATTACCTGTACAGTACAGCAAAGGGTGGGAAAACTCCTTAGCTCTATAGATGTGGGGTGGGGAGCGGGGTATCATAACATCTAAGCCAGTAGATACCTCTTTCTTATGTACAGATAGTCCAATTTGAAGTACAGCTGATATTCTGTACTTTACAGCATATATTATTGATGTTTTTGCTCTTCTGCACTTCTTTTCATACCCTTTTCTAGTTTATCAGCAAATCGGTTAAGAAAGCAATGAGAAGGAGGCCTATAAAGAGAGCTCCATCTAGTATGGTTCAGTATTTGACGTCATTGGATGATTCTATTCAAGGCAATAAGACTAATCAATTAAAATATAATCTCCCTGTGCATCAGATCTCTGATTCTTCCAAAAGACTGAAAAATAGGGAGGGGAGGAAAAGACAGTAATTCGATGCAGGACATTGAAAGAAAAAATCCAGGATGGGTAGCCAATAAACATGGGAACAGAATGTTAAAAAGGCTCTATTTTGAAACCAAATGATTACTTATTTCCATTGTGTTTATCCCTTATTTATTTCTCTGTGTCTTATCTCATTATTCCTGAAGTTTAATGTAATTGTATAGTTCATTCTCCTGACCTTTATTGGGAAATGTGTAAAATAAAATCTACTGCATTGTTGTCTCATATTTTCCAGCACGGTAAAGAGCTACATCTAAATTAATATATTGAAGATCATGTTTAGGAGAAAAGAGTTAACACTGATTCTGAACCGTGGTAATTCAGTAGTTAGAATGCAGTATTGCAAGCTAATTCTGCCAACAGACTATAGTTCAATCCTGACCAGCTCAAGATTGACTCAACTTTCCATCTTTCTGAGGTCAGTAAAATGAGGACCCAGATTTTTGGGGACAATAGGCTGACTCTTTAAACTGCTTAGAGAGGGCTCTAAAGCACTATGAGGCGGTATATAAGTCTAAGTGCTATTGCTATTTCTGGAAGGAATAATCAGGAATAGATAAGTGTGTGGGTGTATAACCTATTTCTCTTTATAAAATACAGTTAGAAGCAGATTCTCTGAAGGACTTTCTTTTTTAAAAAAAACGTTGAAAGTCTTTCTTTGTAAAATTCTTGGTTGAATTACTGACTGTCTGAGGTAAGAAAGACAAGCAGGGAATGAGAGGATATGTCTGTCTGTCATCTTGATGAATGCTGATCAGACTGTTAGCAAGGACAGTAATTAACAGGGGAGGAAAAGCTTTGTCAGATGTAAATGCCTTATTCTCCAATGTGTAAATAATGTATATATGGAACATCAGAGGTTAACTTATTCTTTGGACTTTAATGTATTCATAACTTACCACTCCCATTCCTAGCTCCACCCCTTGTATATATAAGGAGCCACCCTCACCATTCTCGTCGCTTCTACCTTGAATATTCAGTGAATATAGAATGCCTATCATAATTAAAAAGAAATATATTTAAAGCTCTAACTCCTATTATCTTTATTGAGTCTGATCCTGAAAATATTGCAACAAGCTTGTCATTATCCTAAGGGTGAGTAATTATTTTTGACAGGTGATAATTAATGGTCTGGCAAAGTCAGCAAAAGATAATCCTTCAGTCTTGAGAAAACTGGGATGCTACTGGAAACATTTTCTATGTTCTTTTCTTAAACATCCTTTAGGCTTTTAAAGTGCATGAAAAAATGATATTTGTATATATGTATATTTTGGAGGTTATTTCTATCAAAACTTTGTACATCTTTAATTTGTCAACTTCTTTGGGAAAAGAAAGAAGGCACTTCTTTTTCATGCTTAACAACCTCTATCGTTTGGTTGCTGCTAGTGATAGATGTGAAAAAATTGCAAAATACGTTCCTTCCACTTTACTCAGAAAACTCCTGACTGCTAAGAAATAATATGGAAAAACATAACGGATGGGAAGAGTTCACCTCTATAAGATGGGTAGCATGAGGTTTAATAAATAAATAAGAAACACAGAGATATCACCATGGCAAGCCTTTGGAGCAGGGAACCAAGTCACCACTTAGCATAATGAATGCAAGGGCCCACTGACTGCAACTCAGGCAGAGGGAGAATAGAAGCGCTCCCAAACTTGGAAATCTTATTTAAGAAGATCACAAAAACAGCCTTGTTGAATTAGACTGGACTCACCCACCATTATGGCTGTGCAAGTTCACTGGTATGGCATGTATATGGCAGCTGTTTTCCTATTGTCTCCAGACACTCTTCTCCTCAGTAGGATGTTGCCCGGTGACCATGAATTTTCCCTTTTGCAAACTCTCAAGAAATAATTCTTGATACATCTATTTAATGTTTTCTTTTTTAATTCTTGCTGTGAACTGTTTCCAAATCTTGCATCAGGACGTTATAATTAGGTACTCTGTGAACTAGTGTGGGAGCTTCATTGTTGGAATAATATTAAGTTTTGTTTTTGTCTTCCCTAAGCAATGATACATGGATTTTGTGTTTAAAGATCAGATTCCATCTGAGTTCCTATAACATGCTAAGCAGAAAAAACAAATTAACAAACACAACTTCATTCATTCATTCATTCATTCACCACATTCACCCATTTCACTTAAGTGACTCTCTTGACAGAACATGTGGAAATATATCATTAATGTTTACAAGAATGTGGAGATGTATTGTATGACTGAGATATAAGTGCATGTGTGTGTATATGACTGAGACTCAGTTCGGTGCAGAGATTAAGGTACTAGATTATAAACTGAGAGAGTATTGAGTTCTAGTCCTTTATACATGAAAGTTGGATGGGTGACTTTGGGCCAGTCACTCAGCCCAATTCACCCCACAGGGAAAACAGAAAGTAGAAAGCAAGATATATTCTCCCTCAAGTTTTACTAAATAAAGATGGGATCTAACAACCATTACCACTAAAACAATAATAATGCTAAACCCAAATAAATTCAGCGGCCAGAGTCACATAGTATGTTAAAACAAGCTCCACAAATCGAGTAGTATAATTACTCTACTGTGTTATATGAACCCTTCCTCTGAGTAAAATGGCTTTGATGAGTCCCTTGTTGGACATGGCTACATATATTCACTTGAATTGAAACAGGGATATTATTTAAGAATTGTTTAATTTCAATGATGAAACTGAGATGGACCTAGCAGAAGGCTTTTTATGGATATTGACTGCAGAAGATATGACAGTAACAGCTCACCCAGAAGAATGAGTTTTTTCCTGAAAATTATTTATCACTTACGTATGGTTTATGTTATGCTTTTTAACTCTCTCTCTCACTCTCTGTCTGTTTGTCTTTCTTTTCAGGAGCTGACATAGTACAGTGGCTTATGAAGAATCTCAGTATTGAAGATCTAGGTAATATATTCATTACATTCTAAGGAAGCATTAGAAGCATTATTAAATGATGTAGATGTAAAAATTTAGACTTTATTTGCAAATACAATAAAGCAGGAAATAAACTACATATAAAACGTATAGAAAAAACTTTTCTCAATATAGACCAAAATTCAGACTACATCACTATCATTGTTTTATTAAAAGTGTTACGGGTTTTTTTGCTTTGAGCAGGTAATTATGGTAGCCTATTCCACTCAGTCAGGCAGGGAAGGTATGCTGGTTAACACCCTGAAAGCCCTCCCTTCACCTTTTAATCTTTATTAAAATTATTAAAATATTAATATTTATCCATTCATTCAACTTATATGTTGTCCATCTCATCTGGAGGCAATTCTAATAGTGTTTTAATCATCCTTGTATCTTTTTAAATTTTTATCGTTTATATCAGGGTTTCGGTTCGGACTGGATCGCCCGATCCGGTAGCGATGGTGGTGGGTGGTTCGGAGAACCAGCAGCAAAAATCCCTGTGCCCCCCCCATGCCCAGCTGAGCTGCACGATCATCAGAGCCTTTTTTTTAACTTTTAAAAGCATTTTTTCCACCTCTTCCAATGAAAAAATGCTTTTAAAAGTAAAAGAAAACCCTCTGCTGATCGCACGGCTCAGCTGGGATTGTCAGAGGCTTTTCAAAGCATTTTTTTCTGCAACCTCTTGGCCGAAGAGGTAGTAAAAAAAATGCTTTGAAAAGTCTCTGACGATTCCAGCTGAGTTGCCTGATCGGCAGAGGCTTTTCAAAGCATTAGAAAAAATGCTTTGAAAAGTTTTTTTTTAAAAAAAAGTTGGCCACGCCCACCCCAGTCACATTACCCCACACACATACCAAGCCACGCCCACAGAACCAGTAGTAACAAATTTTACATTTCACCCCTGGTTTATATACTGTTTTTATCTTTTAATATATTTTATTACATACCACCATACGTTCTGAATATATGCATTTATACCACTGCCATGAGAAGAGAAGTCACTCACCTTGTAATCCAGAATGATAAACGTGCAGGTGAGATCTTAGTTGGATTGCAGAATTAAGGGCCTGAGTGCCTGGACTCTATTAAGTTTCCAGATGGGCCAGATTTTGCTCCGTCTCATTCACCTGCAACAAATGGAGTCATTTGGTTTCCTAAGTAGTCTCTTGTGCATCCAGCCGTGTGAACATTGTAACATCCATTGGACAGAAATTGTTATTTGCCTTTGCAAAGATAGCCGAATGGGTCCTTTTTAACTGCATCATTGCTCCACTTTCTTATTTCTGGTATAAAGGTCTTTCTATTAGAAATGTACCATCCAGATTCCTTTTTTGTTTGACAGCCTGTTACATATGGCCCGTATGTTATTTAAGTAAGTAAATAATTAATATATTGTACTTGTGATGATTAACTGTTAATCCACCCCCAACACTGGGCTCAAAGCTGCATAAAGAGATTGCACTTCATTTTGTTGAGTTTACCACTGATATCATCATCTGGTCAGAAAATTCCTGCCACCCAAATTTTGCAAGTTGAATACTGAAAAGCATAATTGTCTGACAGAGCTTGTGTGTGTGTGTGTGTGTGTGTGTGTGTGTGTGTGTGTGTGTGTTTGTTTGTTTGTTTTACAGCTGAATCAATCCATCTGGGAAGTCTTGTTGCAGCACAAGGATATATTTTTCCAATCTCTGATCACGTACTGACTTTAAAGGATGATGGAACTTTTTATCGGTTTCAGGTAAGAAATCTGTTTTCTCTACTTGAATTACAGATTGGAGAGGTATGTCTTTCCTTGCTGAAGTCCTCCAATTTCCTCTTTTGTGAAGGAACAAAACAAATAGTGTAAAGTACACTATTGTGTACCTACCTTATCCTGACTCTTGGCTGAATTCTTCCACAGAATTCTTCAACATCACCACAGAACTGTTTGCCTTTTAATGTAACTGATCTAACTTGCTCCAGGTAGTAAGAGCTTTGTATATGTTGTTAACATTTGGGATATTATCATGATAGTCCTGTTAATGTATTCTTTTATCCTAAGATATGTTTTTTTTAAAAAATCGGAGATGCTGAGAATTGAACCTCAGACTTTCTCAAAGACAAGTATGTTTTATTTATTTATTTAAATTATTTTATTTTATTTATTCACTGATAATTGCTATTTTTCTTCTTATATTCTAAACCAGGCTTCATTCCTTTTCCTACACTGTTCATCTAACATCTGACAACTCCAAACTGTGGCAAGAGACTGCTTGTCAGTTTTGTTTTTGATCAGTATCAATGTTGTTACTAAGTTAATCAGTCACTTCCAATTCTTCATAACAAAATGGACATGATCTCTTGACAAGATTGGCTGTCAAAATAGTTGCATCTTTGAATTTTGGCAAATGTATGCTTTTTATCTTTAGTAACAGAAGGTAACCATCTACTTTTCTAGGGATGTCAACCACTAGATAACAGCAAGAGACACAGAATATATTCCCCAACTCTTGGCTGCCATCTAATATTAATTGAAATTTCTGGTTGTCTTGTTCTCTTCTTAACCTAGATATTTTTTTTTCATTTAAGACTGCATATCTTTGCCTTTCTTCCTAACATGGCTAAATATGGAAGTAGTACGGGTGATACAGTACCAAGGAATATTAATATTCTAGCATTCTAATATATCCAGACTATTTTTTTTCAGAAGAACCATCGCAGCTTTTTTTTTGAAAAAAAAAAATACTGTACTTGGAAAGCAATATTATGATCTTATATACATTTTCTCTAGATCAGGTATTCACATAGCAGGTACAATGGATGAAAAGGTCATTTTGATGATTATTAATGAAATGATTATTTTCATTAATACTTCTCTTTATTAGTATAAAGGAAGGGAAAGACTGGGAAAGACTGCGCCTTGGTGGCGCAGCAGACTAAAGCATTGTTTAAGATAACACCAGCTGCCTGCAATTATTGCAAGTTCAAATCTCACTAGGCTCAAGGTTGACTCAGCCTTCCATCCTTTCAAAGGTAGGTAAAATGAGGACCCGGTTTGTGGGGGCAATAAGCTGACTGTATAAAAAAGAACACCGCTTAGGAGGGTGCCGAAAGCCCTACTAAGCAGGTATATACAAAAGTATGAAGACTATTGCATTGTAAGTCACCCTGAGTCTCAGGAAAAGGGCTGCATAGAAATCAAATAAATAAATAAATAAATAAATAAATAAATAAATAAATAAATAAATAAATAAAATTCTAGGATCTTTTTCAGAGAAACCATGGTGATTTTATTTATTTGATTTTATTATTTATTTGATTTGATTTGATTTTTTACTTGATTAGATTTATGTGCTGTCCATCTCATCTAGAGGTGACACTGGGTGACTTACAAACATTTAAACCAGTAGACATTAAAATGATAAAACAATAAATGACAACAATAAAATAAGAACAGTTAAAAGGTGGGGAGGAAGGGAGCATGAAGTAAATGGGGGGAGGTAGAAGCTTTTCTTAATTGAATGTTGCACCCCAACTGGCAGATCCAGTTATGGAAGGTCAGTAGGGTACAGATATCACTTGGGAGGGGGGTGCAGTGTTCCAAAGGGCAGGAGTTATGGCAGAGAAGGCTCTTCTCCTGGACCTCAGCAGCCAAAATTCCTTGACTGACAGGGTCCGCAGCATGTCCCTTCTGCTACCATGGATGGGCAGGTCAATCCCATCCATGGGATTGGTACCCATGGTAGCAGATCTTCAGATAATCCATGCCATGAAGGGCTTTAAAGGTGATAACCAACACCTGGAAACAAATCAGCAGCCAATGCAGTTCATGGAACAGTGGTGTAACATGGGCCCCCCTAGGGGCCCCAAGAACTGAATTTATTTGCCGTTCTTGCTCTACGAAATGAATGAAGCAATAATCCTTTTTAAAAGTGTTGTTGTTGCTTGTGAAAACACTATCACATAGGAAAACAGGAGATACAAAACAAAGTCAAACAAAGGCTTACTACGTCTTTCCTTGATGGGCTTCTTAATTCATCAGAGAAGCTCAAATGGTAGCACTTTTTTTCAATTGCCTTTTTCTAATTTGCATTTCAGCTGGTAGAAAATCTGTTAAAATGTGTTGTGATTTGTAATTGGAATTATATGCATAGGGCTGCAATCATACTGATCCTAACAAGTAGGATGTTTTGGTATAATCCCCTGTTCTCTGGTATTGCATGTGTATCAGAGGTGGATTTCAGCAGGTTCTGACCAGTTCTGGAGAACCAGTAGCAGAAATTTTGAGTAGTTCGGAGAACCGGTAGTAAAAATTCTGACTGGCCCCGCCCCCATCTATTCTCTGCCTCCCGAGTCCCAGCTGATCGGGAGGAAATGGGGATTTTGCAGTAATTTTCCCCTGGATTGGAAGGGAATGGCGATTTTACAGTATCCTGGAGTGGGGTGGGAATGGAGATTTTACAGTATCCTTCCCCTGCCATGCCCACCAAGCCATGCCCACTAAGCCATGCCACGCCTACCAAGCCACACCCACAGAACTGGTAGTAAAAAGATTTGAAACCCACCACTGATGTGAATGGGCAATCACACCTATACACAATTATTTTGAGTTTCTTTATTTCAAAACATATGCATTAAAATAATTAAGAAGAGTTTGGTTATTTCATTGAAACATAAGCTGCCTAAATACCTGAAGGAGAATACCTACATCTTTATGATAAATGTTTTATTTTCTGTTTTTCAGGCTCCATACTTCTGGCCTTCAAATTGTTGGGAACCAGAAAACACAGACTATGGTGAGACTCTTTAGTGCATCTTTTGAAATGCCACTTGTATAAACCCCTTGTCTCCAATAATCATTTTCCTCCAAAAGAAATTATAGAATAATATAATTGTAGAATATTATGCTGACTGATAATCCAAAGAGTTGTAATGCCAATTACATATTGGAGAATGCTACTATATTGGTTTCAGGATGTGAAAGTCAATAGTTGCCAGCATTTGCACATGTGGTGAGCAGGAATAATGCAGGCAGAACATATAAAAGGATTTTCTTTGAGGCTGCAATCCACTCTCTGTCCTTCCATTTTTAAACAACAGCCTGCTTGACTTGAAGAAGAGAAAGCCTTGTTATATGCTGGACTTGAGCTGTTTGATAGCTGTGCCCTGGGAGTATTTGCCATCCACCTACTGGCTGATGGTTGAGAGGGCTGCACTTAAGGGGTTTTTGCTCCTTTGGGGAATTGTAAAGACCACGGATTTGGCTTCTAGAAGAATGGGTGAAGACTGAGAATCATGAAGTGTGACTATGAGCTTAAGTTGGCCTTGACTGGTGAGAGTTGAATTAAAGAACAGTGGCCCAAGGTGTGAGATGGACTTCATCATTGAAACATTTTCCATCATTTTGATGTATGGGCTGGATTAGTGATTTTCGCAGCTCCCTGTGGAATTTTAGCTATATTCCACTGCCCCTTGCAGTTTTAAAATATCTGTAGAAAGTGAGGGATGTCCATAATTTGGAGACAGAGAGAAGACATTGGGGATAAAATCTAGATGGCTGTAAGTAATCACCCTCTCAGTTTTCATTTCCCCATTTCAAATGCTGGTTGCTTTGAGGCAAGCATCCTACCTGTGGAATTTAATGCAAATGCTAGCTCAATTCACCCTAAGACTTCATGGATGGAAAAGCAACCTGCAGATTTGCAAAGTCCTTCAAGGAAAAAAAATGACAACTTGATGCTGATATGAATGATGTTTTTGATAAAATATTTATCAATCAAATTAATATAACCACACATCTCACCAAAGGTGGGCAGTGAATGAGAATCAATACATAAAATAATAAATCAAAACAAAAAATGTACAATATAAAAGCTTTATTAATAAGTGAAAATATAATCCATAGGAGGGGGAGGATAAAAATAGCCCCCTCAACAATGGCACCATCTGAGTAATTCCCCATCACCTAGGAACCCAAGGCTATCAACATAGCTAAGACTTGAGAACTATATCAAGACTGATACACACTGCATCACGACCTAATTGTATAAAAGGACTTTCAATTTATGAGACCTAAGAAAAAGAACAAGACATTTATGGCTGTTTAGCTGGAGCCCTGGTGGCGCAGCAGACTAAAGCACTGTTATTAACTGTTATTAACATCAGCTGCCTGCAATTACTGCAAGTTCAAATCTCACCAGGCTCAAGGTTGACTCAGCCTTCCATCCTTTCTAAGGTAGGTAAAATGAGGACCCAGATTGTGGGGGCAATAAACTGACTTTGTATAAATATACAAAAGTATGAAGGCTATTGCTTAACGCATTGTAAGCCGCCCTGAGTCTTTGGAGAAGGGCGGCATATAAATCAAATTACAAAAAAAATATGCTTTTAACTTTTTTTAAAACTTTTATTAGATTTCTATACCGCCCTTCTCCCGAAGGACTCAGGGCAGTGTACAGCCATATTAAAATACATATAATTTACAAAATTAAAAAAAAACATTAAAATCGAATATACAAAAAATTTGACCCACAAATTAAAACTAACATACACCCATTTAAAATTCATATTCATGTTAGGCCAGCCCGGCTTGTTGAAATAAGAGGGTCTGCGCGGCGAAAGGTGCGCAGGTCGGGGATCATACGTACATCTAGGGGCAGCTCATTCCAGAGGGCTGGTGCCCCCACAGGGAAGGCTCTCCCTCTGGGTGTCGCCAGTCGACATTGTTTGGCCGATGGCACCCTGAGGAGCCTCTTTCTGTGGGAGCGAGTTGGCCGGTGGAAGGTGGTGCTGTCTGGACTTCTATCCCCTTGGCTTACTCAAGCAAGCAAAGGGGGAATGGTTTGGAGATTTCGAAAGACCAGTAAACATACTTTTTTCTTGATGGAATCGTATCTTTGGATTTTAAGAAAGTGGTCTGTCCATCTCTGAAGAAACCCTCCCTGCATTCAGAAATTTTCTTTACTACCATCCTGTCCAAAGCACCTCTTTTGCAGCCAAGGTACATCTTATATTATTGTGGAAAACAACAGTATTGATTGTCAATTAGCTACTGAATCTGTTCATTTGACTCTTGATATAATGCCCTAAACAACTGGAGGCCATAATACCTGACAGATGGTTATTGGCTAAACCAGGCTAATTATTGCCTCAGGGTGTTTAGTCTTATAAATTGTATTCTGGGGTTGAGGTGGGAGCTAAATTCTCTGTGCCCTACCTAGAATCATGTTGGCAAAATTGCCAGAGGAATTTCTTCTATGTGCCAATTAAAAAAAAAACCCAGAATACCATGTTGTCAATATTTGCTAAGAGGCCTTCTCAACGGTGGCACCTTCATTCTGACATGCTGCCCTTTCTGAAAATCATGAACACGTTTCAAAATAGCTCACATAGAAGACCCACCATTTAACCCAATATATTCACAAATATATTAAATAAGATTTGATATCATACCTTATATTTTCAGCTAGTAGTGTGTTATTTCATTTAAAGTATCTGAGTTTTATAGTCTTTTTATACAATGTTTCTGCTTAGAATGATAACATGGACAGTATGGAGAAAAGTTTCATAAGTATTGTCCTTTATTTCTCTCTCTATGCATTCATCAGAGCTCAGGACAGGACCTTATAAGCATATAACACACACATATATAAGTTATATGCTTATAAGGTCCTGTCCTGAGCTCTGATGAATGCATAGAGAGAGAAATAAAGGACAATACTTATTAAACTTTTCTCCATACTGTCCATGCTATTATTGTTTAGTCTGCCTTGTTTAGTGACTTGTTTGCAGTTGCAGTGGTGATGAAATGTAACTTTGTGATCAATCCTCACATCTGCAACCTTCGCAGGTCTGTAAAGCAAAAGAAAACTGAAGTAAGATCCTAAGAAGAGTCACAGTTTCGCTTAGTGACCACTTCACTTAACAACTTAGTTGCCAATCCCAAATGTGGTCACTAAACAAGTGGGCATATGAAACAGAGTGAGTGGAGACAACCTTAGGCTGCAGGATTGCATGTTGTCATTAAATTAATTGATTTGTATTCCTTGGGGTCCTTTTTGTATCGTTATCATTTTATTGGGGTGCATATCTCCTAAAAAAACTTAATTGCCACTCCTGGCCAACAACAGTTTGCTCATACCTGGTCTAAGGGGCAAGTTTTTCTCCCCCGATTTTATTTTATTCTGAACTGCGTGGAAAGAACTTAAATAAAGAGTTTAATCATTTGTTGCTGGTCTATTACAATTATTTAAATAGTGCAGCACTGCCTACATATATATGCAGTTGATCAATAAACCATTATCTGACCCAAACTAGCAGTCTTTATTATAGTAGTAAATGAGAATGGCGCTTCCCTGAGACAGAAGGAGAGAGAAGGAAAACGGGTAGAATAGGTGATAGGATTTATTTATTTTTTTAGTAGAGGCTGAAGTCTGACACTGAGAAAGAAATAACCATGGTTTATGAGCTAATAAACCACAGGTTTTGTATTAAATGGCTGAACGACTTAGTAGTAAAGCATAAAGGGAATGTGTCAGCACAGTTATCTTTAGCTGTCTTTGTGCATTATTAGTGTCTCTTCTACAGCTCTCCCCTCATACAGAAATGATAAAATCATTTCTTTTTCAGTCAGCCTGGTCCTTGGCAAAGGAAATAAAGTGTACCTGTATTCATAATATGAGAAGTGTTTCTTTTACAGGCATTCCTCGATTTACAACTAATTGCGTGGTGACCATTCAAAATTATGATAGACCTTCCTGGGGGGAGGGGGTATGCATGATCCAGATTTGAACACATTTTGCATTTGATGTGTTCTATTTGTCATAGAATAAATAACCAGGCTTAAAATTATTGTTTATGGGACACATTATGCAAAAACCTAGCTAAGAAAAGAGAAGAGGACGACCAGCAGCAAGGTGGATGGATCTGATTACAGCAGTGAGGGCTATATATTTTAACACTGTTGGAAGGTTTGAAAGACCTGGTTGAAGAGAAATTATCCTGTATTATGACTGTATGACTGTAATTTTGTTGCTTGTATCCTTACAATTTATATTGATATTGTTTCCTGATTGCTTATTTGTACCCTATGACTATCATTAATGTTGTACCTTATGATTCTTGATGAACATATCTTTTATTTTATGTACACTGAGAGCATATGCACCAAGACAAATTCCTTGTGTGTCCAATCACACTTGGCCAATAAAAAATTATATTCTATTCTATTCTATCCTGGAGAAAGTCTGTCTATGGCTATGCCCTGCCCTGTTGGCTGGGGAATTCTGGGAGATGGTCCCTACATCTTAAAGTTGCCAAGATTGAGAAACACTGATCTATGTGATCACTAAGAATTGATGTTCCATATTTACTTCTGAATAGCCATAGGCAGTGGTGGGATTCAACCAGTTCGCACCACTTCGGGAGAACCGGTTGTTAACTTTCTGACCAGTTCTGAACTGGTTGTTGGAAGAAATAATTGGGGCAAAGAACCGGTTGTTAAATTACTTGAATCCCACCACTAGCCATGGGGGAAAAAAAAGCTTTTGCACAACTTCATATTGTATGCTAATTCTGTACCTTTTCCTGCTCTGGAAGGCAATTCACATGGTCATTTATGGAATTACCACTGGCTGCATCTCTGGGATTTTGCTTGTTGGAAGTCAGCAGGAAGCTGTGAGCTTAATGACCAATCGTTCTCACTTAATGACAGCAATAGGGACTGCTGGGATTGCTGTCACTAAGCAATGCGGTTATCTGATATTGCGCTTTACAGTCACATAATTTTGGTAATTGGAACTAGAATGTCCATTCCTTAATTAACTGCATGTATCAAATTGATAGAAACCGAAGGTATCCTCTTCAATTAGAGAAATGTGCAGTTTTCTCAATGTTGCATCTATATGTATGAGAATGCCATTGTCTTAATAGAAATAGTTCTTTCATAAGGATTTGTTTGATTCTTTCTTCCTCTTTTCTTTCCTCTTTCTCTCTCTCCTCCTCCTCTTCCTTCTTCACATATCTTTAATGGTCGTTTGTTTATTTTGTTGTCGTTTGTTTTTCTCTATAGCCATCTATCTTTGCAAGAGGACCATGCAGAATAAAGCTAGACTGGAACTGGCAGATTATGAAGCAGTGGGTATATTGATTTTATAGTTCCAAAGTGTGATATCCTCAAAACTGAATGTCATCTGATGTTACACGGGGAACATCGTTGTCTAAAAGGACTGCTATTAGATTTTATTTATCCAGAAATTATATAGATGTAGGGGCCATATCAGAAAGAAACATGTTTTCCTTTTGACTTAGCTTTGAAGGAGGTAGGCGTATGTTTTAGTTATATTATGCCAGGAAGTTTAAGGGAGTTTACATGGAAGTCTACCCCTAATTTTATTCCTGCACAACAATCCCTATGGAAGATGGGGAGGGGATGGGAAGAGTAAAAAAAATCAGTCAGTTCTGTGGTTGAATATGGACTTGAACTTGGGTATTTTGCTGTAAGCAAGTGCCGTGGCTTTTTACAACCCCGAATAATTTTTTAAGAGTCAGTTTTTTTCCTGAAATTTGACCTCTCTTAATTTCCACTTCATTCCCCTTTAAAAATGGGCCCATTCAAGAAAAAAAAATATCACTGTTATTTCCTATAAACTAGGCTCAACGAACAGTTTTTTAAGGTACTCAGGATGTTTCCACATAGATAACTCCGGTTCTTTTACCGATTTCCACAAGATCTGGGGAAAATAATGTGCACTAAATGATTTTAAGTTTTCTTTATTGGAGTGAGTAGTTCTATAATACTGCTTCAAAGGACTAAAGCATTATCAGAGTATAATGCTATATTTTTAATGCTACTTAAAATTTAAAAAATTAAACTATTCAGTTGCTGCTTGCTAAATGCTAGGAACTCTAAGAGTCCATTCTGCCCATTTTGCATTACATAAAAATGTACCGTATTTTTCGGACTATAAGACGCACCGGTGTATAAGACGCACCAAGATTTTGAAGAGGTAAGTAAAAAAAGGGGGGTTGCCCTTCCCGGCCCCCAGGAGCACTCTGCAGGCCTCCCAAACCCTCTGTGTGCCCCATTTTTTGCCCATTTTTGCAAAAAACGGGGTGCACAAAGGGTTTGGGAGGTCTGCAGAGTCCTCCTGGGGGCTGGGGGAGGGCAAAAACACCCCCGTTTTTGCAAAAAATGGGAGGAAAAACGGGCTCATTTTGCAAAAATAGGATGAGTGGGGCAGGGCTTCAGGAAGCCAAAAATGGCTGTATTCGGTGTTTAAGACACACCAACATTTCCACCCTCTTTTGGGGGAGAGGAAGTGCATCTTATACTCCAAAAAATACGGTATATGTATAATGTAATATAGTTTTCATGGAGTATAATTATATTATTCAGTGTTGATTCAAGTGTATATGATGACTATAGACCACATTGACTGTTGGCATCACCTCCTACCAATACAAAAATTTGGAAATAGTTGGAAAGAGGAGAAGTCTTAGTGGTCCCTATGTTATGGTTCACTAGATCAGTGCCTACTTGGCGTTAGCCAAAGCCACTCATGATTATATTCATTATATTATATATAATTCTATACATCATTGTAATGTATAAGCCTACTCAGCACATAAAGGTTATTAGGTAGATTCAAAATATGGTTATTAATTGCACTGACACTTCTTTTAAGGTAGTCATTCATACTTCAAATATTTCTCTATATCTGCAGCATAGGATGTATTATTTCCACAGTGCATTTACTGTAAAGGTTAGAGACAGTATCATTCTTGGTGACTGCAACTAACGTGGTTTGTCATGGCAAAAGGTTATGGTCCAAGTTGGTGCTTTCCAGATGAGTTAGGCCATAAATCTCTCTAGATGAGAAGGATGGGTGTTGTAGAACCTATACAACACCCATCCAGGGAAGGCTCAGATAGTCTTGCTCTATTCCCAAATAGTGACTGCTGAATCAGATTCAGTGTCTCTAAACCGGGAGTGATGTTTTGAGTCAACACCATCACCCCTCCAATCCAGTCTCTCTCCTCAATACTTGTTTGCTTCCAAGTAATCTGTACTTAAACCATATCTGAACCTCCTTTTAAATGTAAAATAATTAAGATGGAGAACAACCAATAACACAGATGGCAATATCCATTAATCCTCAAACACCCTACAGAAAAACTCTATAGAAGAGTGTCTCAAAGGGAGTTAATCTAGGTTCCAAAGGGAGCTTTTTCCAAAGTACAAAAGTCATTATCAAGAAATTCTCCTGGCTCAACTCCATCACCTCAAGAAAATCGACCACCACTCACAGTTTCTACTGGGGTAACCGTATTGGATGAGTTTACTATACTCTGATTGGCGAAGGCAGTCGTGCATCTACCTCTGTTTGCCGGCAATAACATTTATAGGTTGAAACCTGCACTTCAAATTGCACCCAGAAACCTACTAGCAGTTAAACCTTGTAAAAAATGCTTATCCTGATGAGCACCAACCAGCAAGTGGGCTCCAGGTCCTAGTCCTCACAGCCATTCCAGAAGAATACTGTGGTTGAAGGTATGACAGCCAGGCAAAAGGATCCTATGCCATCCATGTCCTAACAGAAGTAATCAACCAATGCTACCTTAGATCCCATGGCTAGCCCTAAATCCTGGCTGAAAGAGACACAGTAATCTGTTTCTTCTAGGGGACTCCAGAGCTAAATTCCTACCAAACTTGAAAATTTTCAGTTGACTTTAAAAAAGGGGGTGAGGTTGGATACTGAGTTAATTGTTGTCAAAAACAATTACATCCATGGAGAGGCTTTTAAGGAGGGGCTATATTACAGCTCCTTCGAAACTACAGATATCAACTTCTTCTGAAGCAAGGCTTCATGAATTCAGCCTGGCATGTACTCTCCAGTCCCAATCAGAAGAGGTGTGGGTCTAATCCATAGATGGCAGGGGTCATGCCAGAGAGTGCCCTATCCATTTCATCAGGGTCAATGGACCGAATAAAGCCCCAGATAACATGGCCAGACATTGGAGTCACTACATCAGATACCAATGTGGAATTTTCAAGTGAATCTGAGCAATTTTGATAACAAAATGATTATAGTGACCAGGTAGTCCTCATGCTGTGTGTATTAATCATAGGCTTTTCAACAACTGGCCCAAAGATCTCAGTGCAGTCTCCCGTCATCATTTCCAAATTATCTGGGGCCTTCTAAGCAGTATTTCAACCTTTAGAATTAGAATTATCCAGATTCTTTTGTTTTCCTATGCCTACAATTTAAGATTCTAAAAATAAAGGAAGACCACACTGAGCATTAATATTCTTCACCTGTTTTCTCCTCTTGGGATTGTAACAACATATCTTCATCTGGATTTTGGAAATTTCTACCAGCAGAAAATAACTCCTCGGATACTGAAAAATCTGTGGCTTTTTAACTCACCTAGTGCCTGTTAAATGCAGTGGTGACTGATGCTTGCACAGCTTGACATGCATAGAGGTTTAAATTTTATATTCCTTCCCACAACCTGGACAGAATTGCCAGTTGTTTTGAAATCAGCCATCCATTGTATATGGACAGTTTTGCACACCACATTGTAATTTTCTGAGTGTTTTTATTCTTGTACCTGTCTACCATCATTATTTCCACACCATCAGCTAGTGAATTATGCAACTATAATCATGAACGTTCTCGACAAATCAACAAAAGCCTTATTCAGCATCCACAGTCACATTATGGCATATCCACAAAGGAGGCAGAGCACTAAATTCAGTTCTCTTGCAAGTATTAAAGAGTCGGACTCATTAATTAACATTGGCTAATTAGATCTTTTACCCACCTCCACTCCAAACTGATTGCTCACATAATGAAGAACCATATCTGTACTGGTCTGAGTAAGTGCAGAGAAGAATGCCGTATCCGTTTCACTATGGTTTGTGTTTTCAGAACACAAAAAAGCTCCTTTTTAAAACATTGATTCCTATGGCTGGAATGGAACTGGTTTTGCTTCTTTCTGTGCCACATCCTTCCTCTCTCACGTGTTAACTTTTGCTTAACATTTGTGTGTTAATTTATTGCATCTCCATGTGAGTCATTTCAAAAGTATTATGCAGTAGACAGTGGATTTCACATTTTAATATTTAAGGTCTTGCTTCAGGTTGTTGAGCACCTGGATTCTTGTGGGGAATTGTACTAGCCTAAAATCTTCCTGCCAATAATTCAAAGCATCCAGTTTACACACTTTACACATAATGGATTTGTACCTTGAAAGATAAATTCAATATTTCGCTATCCTACTGTGATGCCTGAATCAATTATTTTTACTCACCCCAGTCAACATATCACATTAGATAAGAGACTTCTGTTAAATGATGGTGGTTTATACGTATTGCCATGGCTTAGTTCATTGCAGCAGCAGAGTGTAGCCACCTTCCCCATCCTGAGGCTCTCCAAATGCTTTGCGACCACGTTTTACAGAATTTGCAATACTTTTGAAAGGCACCAAGTATGAGAATGCTAATGTTTAGGAAAGCAATGAGTATTAGAGAAAAGCGTGCACACATAATGATTATACAACATTGGAACAAAGCTTGGCACTTTTCAGATAGGTGCAAATCAGTTGAAAATTATGTACATTTAAAAACCCACTGAAGTTAGTAAGGACTTACTGGAATTCCTGCCATGGAATCAGTGAGACAATAGAGGTACGAGATGCCATTTTCATTATATATAATAATGCATGGGGATCATCCTAAGGATCATAGGAGTTATCTATTGGGGGGGGGAACCCTAAGAGAATAAAACTGGTTCAAGGTTCAAAAAATCAAGAAATTGTATGAATATGATGTGTGTGTGTGTGTGTCTTTGGTTATTCGGGTTTTCTCCCGCATAAAATTGGAAGTGTCTTGGCGACGTTTCAATGAAGTCTCGAAACATCCATATATAATGGACGTCTCGAAACCATATATAATGGTTTGGCATTTTCCCCATTACTTTAATTTTCAAGTTTAATATGATCTAGATAATAACCCGATTTCCTAATGGTGAATCTTTTGATTGTTCGCTCTCCTTACTCTTGTGTTGTTGTCCTTGTTTTGTTGTTGTTGTTGTTGTTGTTGTTGTTGTTGTTGTCCTGTCCTCTTAGGAGAACTTAGCAAGACTACAGAGAGCTTTTGCCAGAAAGTGGGAATTCATCTTTATGCAAGCTGAAGCACAAGTCAAGTAGGTGTTTGCAGTAAATCAACTCAAATGATTGAAAATTGTGATGATGCTGAATACATTGTAATGATGAAATAGACTATTTCAAGCTTATATTTTAAGGTTAAATTGCCCTCCCACAACTAAATGTATTTCTATAGTTTACACTCCACTTGGTATTAGAAAATTTTTTAATCTCTTTGCCACCCAGGCAACCTCATTCATCACCCCCACTTCCTCCAATCCCTTATGTTGAGAAATCATTGAGAAGAAACAGCCCCACCTTGGCTGGCATATCAGAGAGGAAAGAAATCTGAACTCGAGACCTGAACACAGCATGACTTCATGATGTTAATGGCTGCACAATAGAATACATTAAATTTTACTTGGCACTGTTGGCAATAAGTTAAGCACGGAATAAGCATGGAATATAGGTAGTCCTTGACTTACGACCATAATTGGAAATGGAAAATTTGTTATTAAGTTGTGCCATTACTAAGAGAAGCATCCCATGACTCTGCCTGATTTTACAACCTTTTTTCCATGGCCATTAAGCAAAACCTCATAAGACCAAAACTTGAGACCTCCCGCTGGCTTCCCCACTGACTTTGCTTGTTCAAAAATAGCTGGTAAGATTGCAAATGACAATCAGGTGACTCTGGGATGCTGCAACCATCATAAATACCTCCCAGTTGCCAAGCACCCAAATTGCAATCAGGTAACCATAGCAATGTTACAATGGTCATAAGTGCACAGACTACAAAATATTACCCATATTACAAAAAAAAAAAAAAAAGGGAAATACTGTTGAAATACTGAGAAGCATGTGGGATCATATCAAACCCATTCTCTGCCCTGAAAAATATGTATTTGGGCTTTGAATATCATTTTGCCAATTAAAACTGGAATCTTCTCTTTACTTCGCTAAACTTTTAGTGGCTTAATCCACTGATTCAGCCATGCAGGACACTAATCACAAGTAAGTGATGTTGCTACGGATTATTTTATTAAAATAAAACTTAAAAAAGAATTAAATTTAATTTGAGTCTTGCTGTCCTCAATACAGTTTATTTTTAGAAATAAATATAAATGTTTATAAAGCAATAACATGGGAACACTGTGTGCCCATGTGCACACCCATGTGGCATGTTTCCTCTGTTCGTAATTCATTCCATGGCCTTTCTGCTCTGACAGGTTTTCCCACTACTACCCACTGGGCATCCCTAAAGCCTCTGGCAACATTAAATGAGCTGTATTAATCAATGTCAACCACATGGATAAGAGTGGATGCTGATTGTTAAACTCTTTCTGCTAAAGCTATTCGATTTATGGACCTAATTTTAAATTGGTTTAACTGTTGTGGCCATCACATAGTCTGTAATTCCTTTCTAGACGTTGACACCATTTTGGGGGGAAGGGTTGGCAACAATCCTTAGTTCATATCCACCTTTGATTGCTATAACAGGTATAATATAGAGACAGTAAAACGATATGGTCACTTGGTTGAATTGGGCAGCTACAGAAATGGAATAAATAATTTACTGGTAAATAAATAAAACTTAGCCCTAACTCAGGGGTGGGCAACTATGGCCCTTTTGTGACTTGTGGATTTCAACTCCCAGAATTCCTGAGCCAGCCATGTTAGCTCAGGAATTCTGGGAATTGAACTCCACAAGTCATAAAAGGTTGCCCACCTCTGCCCTAGCTTAACTGCCATGTTTCCCCATGTTACTCCAAACAGAGGCTGAATTTAGTCTGGGTGTATTTTTATTTACCACTGAAACTAATTTCAGACTTTAGTTTAAAACTCTTAGCTGTATATGCAAAGAATTGACTGTTAGATGGCTTTGGATGGATGGGTGGGTGGATGGTTATACAGTAGGAGCATTATATTTTTGATATAAAAATTTAGATGGGTGTTTTCTGAAAAACTTAAATAGCCCATTGGCTATTGGTTGTACATGTAGTTCTCTTTTAATGACTGCCTCGTATAATGACTGTTCACAGTTGCAACAATAGCGAAAAAGTAATTTTGCAACCAGTCCTCACATTTATGACCTTCACATTTCTGTAAAGCAAAGGAAACTTGAGCATAGTCACAGTTTCATTTAGTGTCCAATTTGCTTAGCAACCAAGTTGCAAGCCCCATTTGTGAAACAAGGACAATCTGTGTTCACATTATATGTTGAGCCAAATAAACCAACCACATTTTAGCCTAGGATCCTGGGCAATCCTGTACAGTAATGCAATTAATTGTAAACTGGACTAATTGAATGTGCAAATACAATATGATGGAGAGAGGGATCTATTTTGAATTGTATAGCATGTTTTTATTAACTAAAAATTCATAATGAATACTAATACCAATTCTCATACAAATCAGGATTGCACCCAAAACTGCTTTTGGTTCTATTTGTTTTTCTTTCTTTTTTTTTTAGAATTGATAGAAAAAAGGATAAGACAGAAAGGAAGATTCTGGATAGTCAAGAAAGAGCTTTCTGGGATGTTCATAGGCCGGTGGTAAGATTCACAGACTTGTTATTCTTTTATAATCAGCTAATTATAAAATATCTGGAGGCACAATGGTGATGTGTCTATATTCTGGGCAATCTTTTCAATCTAATGGCCACCAAGCGCAATAGATGTAAGTCAGAATTAGCTGGGGATTCTTCTTCAGCACAACCTAGCAGGACTCTAATTCAGGGGTCCCCAACCCCCCAGGCCGTGGCCCGCTACCAGGCCACGGCTTGTTTGAAACCAGGTCATGTAAGAGATGGGCAAGCATACATGCACGTGAAGCTCCGTTCACACGAGCAGAGGGTGCTTGTGCTAGCGTGTGAAGTTCCCCTTGTGCAAGTAGAAGGTGCTTGCAAGCACAAGCAGAGCTTCATGCGCGAGTCCAAGCACCTTTTGCTCAAGCACTCTCTGCTTGCGCGATGGCAGCTTCATGCATGAATGCAAGTGCCTGCCACTGTCTGGAGTGTAGCTTTGCACACGAGCTCAAGCACCTCTGCTCACATGCAAAACTCCATTTGTGCAAGTGGAGGGTGCGTGTACCCACCGCTTGCACAAATGTAGTCGTGTGCGATGTGTGATGACCCAGGACAAGGCACAAAGACCACACAGTAAACTGAGAGTTCAAACTCCCCTTTAATGCTCCAAATTTCCCTGCAAAGCGTCTATGAACCAAGGAATAAACAATGAGTCCACAAAGTAAGGAACAAGATAGTGAGTCCATGAAGTTAGGAACAAGGCACTGAGTCCACAAAGTAAGGAAGAAGCAAGCAGTCCTGCAAACTCCAAATATCTGTACCAGCACACCAAACTCTACCAATTCAGCATTTGTTCCTGACAAATGCACCTCCCCGCAGCATATCCTTAATTCTCAATCCCTAGGTGTGCCTTGTGAAGAGGGGCGGGGTGCTCTTCACCCAAGTCATCGGATTGGCCTGCGCTGTTCCCTCCTTCTCTCCACTCTCCATGCTCAGGGATCAGGAGGGAGCAGTCCTTGCTCATCACCTGAGCTCCATCGCTTCTCATGTCCACTGCTTGCCCTCTCTCAGTCATCCTGCCCCCATTCCTTCCTGCTAACAAGCTGTCCCAATCCTGAGGGGCCCTGGGCTGCCCTGGGCTGCTCCTCCCCACATTCCTCCAAAGCAAACAAAGCCGCCCCCTTGATCTCCATCAGCTCCAGCTCCAGCTCATCATCCTCCACAGATTCAGGCTCTGACGGGGGCATGACAGTGTGTGCCTGCCACTCATATGTTCCCCTGCCCCCCCATGCCAGGTTGCCAAGCTTGAAAGTTTGCAGATCACTGGATTATATCACATTCTAAGGAATACAGCTAGTCCATGTTTACCTGCTTTCTTGTTTAGCAACCATTCTCAGTTATGACAGTGCTGAAAAAGAAAATTTACAACCAACCTTCATATGGTTGTAACTTTATTTTATTTTATTTTATTTTATTATTCATATTTCTATGCTGCCCACTCTCCGAGGACTCTGGGTGGCTTACACCAAGGACAGTTTACTAAATAGCATATTGCCCCCAACAATCTGGGTCCTCATTTTACCCACCTTGGAAGGATGGAAGGCTGAGTCAACCTTGAGCCGGTGAGATTTGATCTGCTGATCTGCTGAACTAGCAGTCAGCTGAAGTAGCTGCAGTACTGCACTCTAACCACTGCGCCACCTCGGCTCTTTTGCAGTGTCTTCGCAGGTCTGTAAGGCAAAAGAAAGATGAAGTAAGATAATAAGCGCATTTCACTTAGCGACTACATCACTTAATGATTGAGTTGCTGATCCCAATTGTGGTTGCTAAATGAAGACTACTTGTATAGGTTAACTGAATAATTGCTTTACAATCATCTAGGTAAGGAAGTAGAGAATGTCGTATTTGGAAGTGAAGACACTTGCTTATCTGGCACAGAGGACCACAATACGTAGGCATTGATTTATGAAAGGCACAGATACCAAGCAAATTATCAATTGATCAAAGTCACAGATTCCCTGTACATTATTAGCCCTTCATGTTACTTACTATAACAGGATGACTCTAGTTGTTTTCTAAACATGGGAAAATCTAAATGAGTTTGTTATCTTTATGTAAGTTCATCAGCATGATATACATTTCAAAGCTTCCTTTAGAAAAAGGGGAAATGTTTCATAGTAAAGCATATGAGTTTTGCAAGTGTTATGAAGATTGCAATTTGATCTTGCTTATGTATGAAGCAAGAAGAATGCTGTATTGCAAAGCAAAAGGTTTCATTTACATTCATAAAAGGTCAATTTAATTGCCAGAGCCTTCTATGCAGTTCACCAAGTTTATTTGGTATATTCTTTAATATTACTGCATTCCATTCTTTGCTATGTACTTTGCAATATACTTTTAGAACTAGATTGCAAAAGGAAAGAACACCTAATTTTGATAAAAGGCCAAATCTCAATATATATTCATACTTGCTATAAATGTTGGATTTGGCTTAAAATAGCAGTTCCAGGATGAGAAAAACAAATGTGGACTAAGTAAGTTATTTGATGCTGAAAATAGACAAATTAAAAATATTTGATGCTGAAAATAGTCTAATTAAGTATATTCTTCCACTATTGATCCTCCTTTCTATGAGTACATAATGTTTTACTATCCTGTCCTTTGTTATTGAAGTGATCATGCAGTTTGATTGTTTCTTTGATAGAGCAATAAAAACATAAATCAATAAAATGTGAACTGAAACTGCAACTGTTGGTTACCATCAAATTGAGCAATCCAGCAACTGTGCAAGCTGGAAAGAAGTCCTATTTATTCTCAAGGAATCAATTATTTTTTTGTCCATGTTTCCTTCACAGAAATGATAGAAACTATGAGTGAATATCTAAGATGTTATTTACTGAACTATGATTTATGTAGACTACCATATTTCAGCTGCCTAATTCTAGATGATCTTTAGAAGATAGCAAAATGAACTAGTAGTTCTCTGAATTTTGCAAACTAACTATGGTGGCCCTAATAAGCCCCAGTTTGTTCAGAAAACAAAAAAATAAATGATGAAGGCTTAGCCCAGTATATGAACCTTGCTATTATATAAAAGTGCAGTTCAAACAAGTACTTTATCTCCAAAAATTGAGTGGAGAAGTCAAATGATTATGATCTCTATAGCCTTGAATTTTAGCAAAGTGCACCCAGTGACAATATATGTCCCGCAAATAGAAAATAGATAAACCCACTCTTCCATTGAACTAAGCCTCATTGAAAGCTAATTTGTGCTGAATTAGCCTGCTGTGATTTCTAAATGAGCTTCCAAATGTTAGATTAAAAATGCAATTCTAATTGCACCATAAGTCAGAGTTTGAAACCATTGGTCTGTAGAAAATGAAAGGCAGTCTAAACATTAAACAAAATTAATGTTTTTGTATGTGGGTTTTTTTCCTAGCCGGGCTGTGTGAATACAACAGAGATGGACATCAGGAAGTGTCGGCGAATGAAGAATCCACAGAGGGTCAAAAAGGCAAGCTCTTCTTCTCTTCTCCAAAGAACCTATGAAACACGCTAGATGAGATTTTTATAGGATACATTTAGTGCTGATCTCTATTAAGATGTTGACATCAGCCTAAGTGAAAAATAACCTCAGTTCAGGCAAATGTTTCTGTAAAGTTTGTTTATATATCTTTATGGACTGACCTGAAATTATTATTTTTTTGACATTATACAAAGGCTTTTGAGATAAACCTAATCTCTTTATGTATCCTCGATTACATCTTAAAAAAATGAATAATTGTATTCAGTTCAAATATTATGTATAATATCCAATTCAAATCTCCATTTTTAACGTTCATAGGTATACACTTTTATAATTGTAGTAATTGAAGTTTGTAAAGGAAAAAGTTTAGACCGTAATTTTATTCTGTACTTTACTGTGCTGGAAAAAGTTTGAAGTCCATTATTAACCTACTAAAATTTCTGTTTAAATATAAACATATATATCTGTTTTATGCAGAAAATAATGGATATATATTCATGATAACGGATATATATTCATGGTACCAGTCTATATTTATATTGGTTATCCAGTCCCATTCTAGTCAATAGGATATAAGTTAGAACTACCAGTTTAGGTTACACAGATCCTGGTAATCATGAAGTAGCAAACAAAGAAGAGTTTTGAACCAGATCTTTGCAGTCCGAATCGACTAACCCTAGCTTTAAATCAGCAGCATGAGTTTTACCTGCTGCTGCTAGGTGTTTCATCATGTGGAGATTCAGCTTCCACCAACACTCCATCATATTAAAGAGAAGAAATATACAAATATTTCTCTTTTCTTGTTATTTTTACTGGTGGGCATTAAGGGAAAGGCAGACACAAAAGTAAGAAGAAATGAGGGTTCTTGGCTAAAACTGCTACAGGGTTTCCCCCAAAAAATTACTTAACAGAATAAATTATTGAAAAGGAAAAGGAAAGGAGTTCCTGTGGATTTTACTCCAGTAGTTCTATAAAGATTCTCAATCATCCAGGTCATGGTTGTCCCAAAGATGTTTTTCAGGAGGCAACTGGACTTTCTTGTTTTTTCTTTGAAGACATTTTGCTTCTCATCCAAGAAGCTTCTTCAGCTCTGACTGGATGATGGGGAATGGAAGGATTTATATTCTATTTATTTTATACTCCAGTAGTTGTTGCCAACTATAGGTGGCACTGTTCATCTCTGCTTCAAGGCCATTGAACTAGTGCTGTCAAAAGACATTTCCGTGGTCGTGTGGCCAGCATGACATCGCCGAGAGCTGTTACCTCCCCACAAAGTAGTACCTGTTTATCTATGGTACTTGCATTTGTATGCTTTTGAACTGCTAGATGGGCAGGATCTAGGCGAAGATGGGCACTCACCCCATTGTGTGATGCTGGGGACTCAAATCCGAGCTGTCAGCTTTCTAGCTGACAAGCCAAATGTCTTAACCACTGAGCCATCACGCCGCTCTGTAAATGATTGAAGGCAAAATAAGATGCAAAGGACTGCAGACATTTCTGCAAATAAATTTGGATATCATTAGCCATTGCTAAACAGAGGCTACTTGTCTTTTGAATGTAACACCCACACAATATTTTTTTCCTATTCAATTTTTCCTATTCAATTACATTTTCCCTTCATTTAATTTACATTCTACTTTTTTTTCCCCTTACCTTCTTAGCTCAGTTCCCCTTTCTTCTTGCCTCACATTATTCCTATATTTATCCTCCTTTTTGTTTGTGGTTTCTGCTGGAAGAAGGGAAGCATGTGTGAATATTGTGCATTTCTGGATGAGCATGGTTTGTGTGTGAGGGAAAATGATTTATAGATGCAGATGAGAGATCAGTTAATTCTATAAATGGGGAAGCTTACCTGACAGACAATTTTTTTAAAATTTTATTAAATATAAAAACACACAAAATACACATACACATACACATACAAGTACAAATAGAACAATATACAACATTAATGACATTAATGACATCTAAACGTAATACCTGACAGACAATTTAATCAACAGTTTTAATTAGTTCTTAATTGTTTGTGACTTGAGAGCCAGTTTGGTCTAGTGACTAAACACTACCAGGAGATTGAGGGTTCTAATCCTGCCTTAGGCCTCGAAAGCCACCTGAGTGACATTGGGCCAGTCAGTCTCTCTTAACCAAGTACATCAAGCTTGCGTGATCAGCCAGTGGGTCAATACCTGTCACAACCAATGGATCAATACTCAGTTGATCCAAACAAAAAGCACTTTCCTGAACTTGTGGAAAAACGCTAAGAAAAAAAATTGCTGTTGTTCAGTCCTTTATTTGGAATATGACTTCTAGAAAATGTATACCCACACATACATATATGTATAAGTATTACACATGTACACATTTATAGGGATGAAAAAAAACCCTCCAGGATCAATGTCAATCAGAGTTTGCCATCCTGGGTTGGCAAACTCTTGGCAAGATGGGCATTGTACAGGATTTTTATATCTGTTTTCTATCATCAACATTATTATCTTTATTTATTAAATATGAAACTCAGTCAACTGAACATTCAAAAATGCATCACAAATACCATTGACTGGTGCTAATGGTTGATACAGGTTGCTGCCAGCGTCCTAGGTATCAACCAAGTACCTTCTTAAGATGTATGATGTTCCAAGTAGCCCAGTTTTTTGCAGTTCTGCTGGTGTTATTGCAGGAAACTGCAATTTGCTGATGTATGTTATAAAATTCTTGGACATGGTACCAAGTGCCCCAATGACAATGGGTATCACTGTTACATGTTTCATCCATAGCCGTGTAATTTCAATGGCCAGGTCACAATATTTCATGATTTTTTTCCAGTTCTTTTTCTTCGACTCTGGCATCTCCTGGTACCGTGATTTCAATAAATTGTACATTTCAGTTTTTGACAGCTGTGATATCTGGCATGTTGTGTTCCAAGTGACGATCTGTCTGTATTCGAAAGTCCCACAAGATCTTCACCTTCTCATTTTCTATAACATTTTCCACTTTATGTTCCCATGACTTTTTGGATACATCATCATCATCATCATCATCATCATCATCATCATCATCATCATCATCATCATTATTATTAATTTCCTTCATTTTATGGCCACTCTTTTATTAGAGAATATATTGTTCAACTTCCTTTTGAATTAATGTGATTGTTAGCCATTTAAGGATGTGCAACCTCTCCCTACTGGGGATTACTCTTATATAGCAACTTATTTTCAACTTTTTATTACAGTCAGTTTATGGAGTTATAGAAGATAGTCAGTCTCAAAGCCCTGCACATATACCTTCCCAACCAATTCGCAAGACAACAAAAGATGATGTCCGAAAGCAAGTAAGTGAAATGGCTTTGAAACTGTTTCTTTTGCCTCTGTGAGATGGATTGGTTTTTTAAAAAATATTTCTGTAGATGTGGGACCTAATCTTCAGTAAATAAAATGTTAGAAATTTGTTCCTTTCAATAATTACAGTTATGGGGGCGGGGGGATGTTCAACTAGTAAATCAGCTGAACTCTATCCTTCATCCTTCTTGCCAACCTTCCTTTTGATTCTGCATGGTTTATATGAGAATAACAAAGTTGGAAGGGCCTTGGAGGTCTTGGATATCTGCAACATAGAGAAGAGAAGAACAAATTTACTTAAAATTGATGGGGAAAATACCGTCCAGTTATAGAGCAGAATACATGGATGCATTGGATTAGAGTTCATATCTTTCAATGTATTATGATGTGCATCATGTAAACTATCAAATAAAATCACTGGCATAACTGCACGTCTATACAGCTGCATTTAATTGTTTCTTCAAGAGCTATTTTCATTTCTTTTCTTCAGATATCATTTCTGAATGTTCAAATAGAGAGGCATTGTTTAAAAATGTCTAAAGTAGCAGAAAGGTAAGCACTCCAATTCATGTTATTATCACTGTTGTTGCTCTTTTCCCCCTCCAAAATTTGCAAAAGCATGTTTTCAGACCTCAGAAATTAGTTGCCGATGCAGGCATGCTTTCTCTCACTAATATGTGCTGACTTAATAGATGATTTCAACAGCTCGATCCTGATTTGCAAACATGTTTTAGAGAGTTTGGTCAAACCAGGACTTTCTACAGTACTTCATGTCCAGTATATTTTATTACAGGAGGTGTCTATATTGTTGTTTCAAAACAACCATATAAATCAGGGCAGCTGAGTCATTACGTTCTCAAACAGTTTCCCTTATTGCCTTCTTGAGATATAAGATTAATGAAAAGCTTCTACAAATAACAAAAATGCAATTTAGAATGACAGTCTAAGGCTGTTTTCATACTTCACATGCACGACCCACACAACTCAACAGACTTTTCCATCATCTTGAAATAATCAGCCCATTACAACTAAGCTCTGATGAGAGAGAAAAACATAAGATAAAATGAAAACCAGAAGTGCTTGAGACAAAATAAAGTTAGATGGAACACCAAACTATTGTTTACTGTCATGTGCATAAGCGTCAGACTGGTTAAACTGGTTGCCCCCTCCCTTTTCCACACTTTCTCTTATGGATACAAGAAGTATCCACTTGGAGCTCTGGTTCTCCTAAGCAATGCTTTTTAAAAACATGACCTCAGCCATAAACTTGGCATATTTGTCTTTGTTTATTTGTCCACCACATAATCTCATCCTAGCTACACTATTTATGTATGTACTGCATCCCTTGTACGGTAGAGATGTATAAGTATAGATAGCTTGAACTGGAACAACCTCTAGTGACTGGTATGGAAAATGGCATGTTAAACTGCTCTGAATTCATTTCGTTAAGCTGTAAATATAGTTAACCTACATTTCAGCATGTCAATATTGATATAACGTGGGCATGGTTTCCTGTGGTGTACTTTATTAATTCTGATAAACCGAGGATCAACATAAACTAATTATTTCTATGAACCAGCAATTGGAGCTCTGCAAAAATGAGCTAGGGATCTCAAGAATGCTAGTTGCTGTATTTATTTATTCACTTACAACTATTGGATATGCACAATTAAGAAAACAAATGCAATTGCTGGCCTTTTGCCATAGTAAGAATCCATTCATTCAAACAGTAAATGTGAAAATGTGACAGAAAAACAAAGGAAATCATACACAAGCAAAAGCAAGTGACACCACACCACAACCAAGTGAATTAAGAAAACTGGCAAGAAGGTAACTTTAATGTGGCGAAGTTAAATCAACACAATCAATGTTTAAATGGACTTTAAAGAGTCTTCAAACATCTGGTGGATTCAAAATGTTCTCACCTGACACTGGAAAAAAACACAAATCATTGAAACAAACCATTTGCATTTAAATACCAATTGCATTGTTCTTGCAATTATTTTTGCATTAGAAAGCATTCCATTCACAGTGGCATTGTTCCTGCAATTCCTATAGTCTTTGCAACATCCCTTTTTCTTTCCCATTTTTTCCCCATTGCTTCATTTGCTGCATGCTGTATATTCCAAAGTGAAAGCTTTTCCCTCTTCTGACTCCTAATCTGTAGTGGTCGTGAAATGCAGTTAATGAAATGAGATCAGACAGTAAGGGGCCAAAACACCCTGAGGCTCAATTGCTAGAACTTCTGTTAGTTGTGAAACATTGTGTTTCTGATGCCTGGTGATATACAGTAACATCATCCTTTCCATGACAGATTCAAGAGAAAACAGCTTCTCACTAGCAGCCATGTTTTTTATTATTATTATTTACAAATGTAGAGATACAATGCATTTAAGGCATTTAAAAACTTTCCCAGTATGCTTGTTTTTCTTTTTTATGTTACAGTTTAATTGCTTATTCAGAGCAGTACATGGATTATGATCCCTTTATAACTCCTGCGGAACCCTCCAATCCCTGGATAAATGATGACGCTGTGTTTTGGGACTTAGAAACAAGGTAAAAAAAAACCCCAACCACTTTTTAAAGGGTACTTCATTCTGTTCTGTATTAAGAAACAAAGACTACCAGATGTGTGTGACAAAAACTCAGTTGCGTACTAGATGGCTTCAAGAAGTTGAAATAGGACTTTATTGTTTCCAGAAGGAATATCTGGTGAACCTACACCAGATCTCTTATGACATAACAATGGCAAGTTATATTAGAAGAGTTGGCATGACCAAACCAAATGCCATTTAACCCCACCCTTGCTAGAACTCTCTCTCTCTCTCTTTGTGCATGACCATTTTATCATGCTCTTTTAACATTTGCTGTCATTTTATTCCGAACTTTTCATGCCTTCATGGTAAGGCATGATGATATTCATTTGCACAAAATGCTTCTTCTTCTCCTTCTTCTTCTTCTTCTTCTTCTTCTTCTTCTTCTTCTTCTTCTTCTTTTTTTTTTTTTTTTTTTGAAGAAAATAAGCCCCACAACATTTATGTCATGTCTTACGAGCTGTGGTTATGAAGAAGTGCTTTAAAAACAAACTATAACCTTGGTTTATCATACATTAACTAATTAGCTAATCAACAGTGAAAAAAGCAAGGTTCTACATTTAGGGAAGAAAAACAAAATGCACATGTATATGTATATGTCTATGTGGTACCTTGCTCAATAGTAGTAACTGTGAGAGGGATCTTGGAGTCCTAGTGGACAACCATTTAGATATGAGCCAGCAGTGTGCAGCAGCTGCCAAAAAAGCCAACACAGTTCTGGGCTGCATAAGCAGAGGGATAGAATCAAGATCACATGAAGCGTTAATACCACTTTATAATGCCTTGGTAAGGCCACACTTGGAATATTGCATTCAGTTTTGGTCACCACGATGTAAAAAAGATGTTGAGACTCTAGAAAGAGTGCAGAGAAGAGCAACAAAGATGATTAGAGGACTGAAGGCTAAAACATATGAAGAACGGTTGCAGGAACTGGGTATGTCTAGTTTAATGAAGAGAAGGACTAAGGGAGACATGATAGCAGTGTTCCAATATCTCAGGGGTTGCCACAAAGAATAGGGAGTCAAACTATTCTCCAAAGCACCTGAGGGTAGAACAAGAAGCAATGGGTGGAAACTAATCAAGGAGAGAAGCTATTTAGAACTAAGGAGCAATTTCCTGACAGTTAGAACAATTAGTAAGTGGAACAACTTGCCTGCAAAAGTTGTGAATTCTCCAACACTGGAAATTTTTAAGAAGATGTTCGATAACCATTTGTCTGAAGTGGTGTAGGGTTTCCTGCCTGGGTTGGACTAGAAGACCTCCAAGGTCCCTTCCAACTCTGTTATTCTATTCTATTCTATTCTATTCTATTCTATTCTATTCTATTCTATTCTAATTTAGGCCTCTTCTGAATTAATGGCTAGTTTGTGCTTAAACAACTATTAGTCCTCTAGGTAAAGAATGCAGGGAAGAAGAGTATCTGCTATTGCTCCTATAGAGCAGGGGTGTCAAACTCAAGGCCTGGGGGCCAGATCCGGCCTGCAGGGTACTAGATCTGACCTGCGGGGCTATCCTGGAAACAGCGAAGGACCGGCCCATGGTGCTTCTGCCAGCGGAAACGGGGTCCCGAGCTCCATTTTTGGCTGCCACGGCTTCCTGCAACCCTCTGCCAGTGAAAATGGAGCTCAGGAGGGCCACGTCAGAGGGTTGCAGGAGGCCGTGGCAGCCAAAAACGGAGCCCGAGAACCCATTTTCACTGGCAGAGTGCTTGAGCCACCACAGGTGCCCCTGACAGGAGTGACGTCAAACTGGCTATGCCCACCCCAGCCCCCCGAGATCAAACACAACCCTGATGCGGCCTTCAATGAAATTGAGTTTGACACCCCTGCTATAGAGCATACAGATGCCTTTATTTTGAATACAAAGGTGACCAGAAATCTGTTGGAATACCAACCAAAATTATGACTAAAAGCTCTAACTGGCTGTGCTCCATCATCTGTGAAACCATGGTTAACATTCAGTCATGTTTAGCATGTTGTGTGAGAGTGATTTATATAAGATTGAATCTAGAGACCTTGAAGGCATATTCGAGACCCAGAATACTCACACTGCAAGAAAGTTTAATGTGGTCCCACACCCCCAGACCCTGAGAAGTCAGTAAAAGTTATTTCTCCACTTCTATGAGGAAGAACTACCATTGATCAAAGACTTCACAATCCATGGAAAAGCAATTCTATATCCATGTAACATTGCATACTATTGTTGTGGCCCATCAGCGGCCTGTGCGGATTGTAGCTGACTCTGACAGCGAGGAGGCTGGTGTGGTGTTGCGCCAGCAGCCTGTGCAGCTGGCACTCGAGTCGGACAATGAGGAGGCTGGAGAAGATGTGGTGCCAGAGGCAGGGATTCAGCCAGGGCCTTCAGAACCTCCAAAAGCTCCTTCAAGTGAAGAGGACAAAGAGGAGGAGCTTCTTCTTGATGCACGGGCGCACAGAGCGGCCAAAAGGCAGGAGTGTCTCCTCAGGAGGAGGTCTCCTCGAGAGTAAGGCTTGGGGCTAATTGGCCACTCTCTTAGCCTATTTAAGGAGGAACGCCGACTGAAGCAATTTGTAGGGAACAACTTTAGTTCACTCTACTTCGCGTCTGGATTCTCTGCAAATTGCTTCTGGGCTTTCTGCCAACTTTAGTAAGATTGTGATTACTTTATCTTTGGTTTCTTGTAGGCTGTTAAGAAAGTTTATTAACAGCCTTTGTTTTGATAAAGACTGAGTTATTTTAGTAAATTAAGTTTTGTACAAACTTTATGTGTGCTGTGTTCTTTGGGGTCTGTAGCTGGGGCAGAACAACTATACAGGTAGTCCTCAACATACAACAGTTCATTTAGTGACTGTTCAAAGTTACAATGGCATTGGAAAAAGGTGACATCACTATTTTTCACACTTATGACCATTGCAACATCCCCATGTTCACATGATCAAAATTCAGATGCTAGGCAACTGGTTCATATTTATGATATGTTGCTGTGTCCCAGGGACATGCAATCATCTTTTGCCACCTTCTGACAAGCAAAGTCAATGGGGAAGCCAGATTCACTTAACAACTGGATTACTAACTTAACAACTGCAACGATTCACTTAACAACGGTGGCAAGAAAAGTCGTAAAATGGGGCAAAACTCACTTAACAAATGTCTCACTTAGCAACATAAATTTCAGGCTCAGTTGTGGTTGTAAGTTCAGGACTACCTGTATTTATAACAGTTAATATCAACCTTTTATTCGTAAGTACTCCCCAGTCAATACTTCTCTCTTTTCGGGTGTTCTAAAAGGGAAACATATCATCAGTTTTCATACATACAGATTCCTTTCCTCTCATAAATCGAATAGGTGTATACAAGCATTTTCTCCAGTTTCATTAATTTAGTGCTGCAAGCAGTTTTCAGTTGAGCCACTTCAAATGAAGGTTTGAAGATTTGACAATAAAAATATGCTGATGGTCACAATAGTTTCATTTCTGTCCTTTTACTTAGCAAAGAGCCTTCCCAGCATCGGGTCAAGAGATGGGGCTTCTCTATAGATGAGGTGTTGAAAGATCCTGTGGGGCGTGACCAGTTTTTTCGATTTTTGGAATCAGAATTCAGTTCTGAAAACCTCAGGTAAGAAGCTGGAGATACTCTGGTGGTTGGGGGTTTCACCAGGGAAGTTTCACAAGCAGGAAGAAATACTACCTTGGTCTATAGATTATTTAATTAACTTAATTTATACCCCACCTTTATATCCAACTTTAGATCACTTGAATGAGTGTCATCAAGTCAGATTTGACTTCAGATAACCCCATGGACGATTGCTTCCCATTTTGGTGTCCCTCCAGTAACACCCTACAGCACTTCAAAGGGCAGTTTGGAGATTCACAGAGTCCAAAATGGACTTTGCAATCATCCTTATTCAAGGATATTTTGGTGGGATTTGGATAGACAGAAAGAAAGAGCTTCCCAACCATGAAGAGATTTCTAATAGCTTTAAGGTGACTAATAGGCAATTTCTGAAAACGATGAGAGGGAGGCAGAGGAAGAATGCAGAGGTATTCCTGTGTCCTGCTGCTCCTGCTACCTCTGCAGACAATGCTAGCGGCCGCTGCTGCCCCCTTCTCCCTCTCCCTCTCTGCTGCTGTGTGAAGACTGGAATGGCAGCTTTAACAAAGGAATAAAAACTGATTTTGCTGCTTCCCCTTGGTTAACGCCCAGCGAGGGAGAAGTTGCTCTGCCACGAACGGGCAGAGACAGGCGGTGAGGGGTGCGCCCAAGCGATGCTCCTGCACCAATAAAACCTTCCCTTCCCTTGTGGAAAGATTGAACACACACACACACACACACACACACACACATACACACACACACACACACACAAACATTGGATCTTTCTTTCCTCCTGCCCCCCCCTTCCCGGAGACCCCTGGATTCCTTCCCCAATCCTGCCGATCCCATACAGGCACCACCCACGCGAGTGATGTAGAGTTGGCCACACCCACCCAGTCACATGACCACCTAGACATGCCCCTCCAGTCACATGACCACTTAGCCACGCCCACCTAGCCATGCCCACAGAATGTCAGTTTTGGAAGACAATTTTCTTTTTTGCTTCTTAACTGCCACATATTTTAGCTGGGGAAGTTGGGAGGGGGTTGTTGTTGGAGTAATAGAAAGTTAGTCATAACAACATTCCGCATTCAAGGACTTTTGCCTGCGTCTGATGGAGACTGCCTGAAGATTGTAGCCAGCTGAGTGTGAAGAGTTGATTGGACAATGTAGTGAGCTTGTGGGTGTGGGGCAGGGCTGTTAACTGTCAGCTGGGTGTGGAAAACCTGGAAGCTTTCAGATTCGGGTTTTCCCAGATGTGCCAACATGACATCTCTAATAAATTGGAACTTTGAGGAACTTCAGGCCTCAGAGCTTTATTTCGTTGGGGGTGTTCCTTGGAACCCTGACACAGAACCTGTTGTTAAATTATTTGAATCCCATCACTGCCATGATGGTGAGCAAGGTGGCTAATATCTTTGACTCCCAGCTCTCAGACTTATAGAAAAGTGCTATCCTGTGGTCTCCTCATGAAAAGCAGCTGTCCAGAGCACATGTGGTCAATCTCCCGACCTCTCCTTATCTGGAAAGGTTCCAAAGGATCAGTTTATTCACCAGTTTCTTGGTCTTTGCTATGCTCTTCTTTTGTAGAAGTATCTTCAGTTTGCCATATCTCCCCCAGAAGTCCCCAGCCACTAAAAGATTTCTGTAGATATTCACAAAATGCAGTGTTTCATGTAAAAATCTGATTTTTCACAGTCTCAATCATTTCTCCATTATGTGTTAGCTTTCAGTGGTAAAAAGTACTTTTTCCTGATAAGCTGGGTACCACATTAAATTACTTGAATCCTCTCTGTGATGGCCATTGCCAGTGAAAGAGTTGGATGGTGCCAACATCTTCCAGGTATAAGGAAACATGGTCAAAAGAATTTAGAAGGCTTAACATCTGATAGTGCCTTTTTCAGCAAATAATTTGCAGAAGGAATGTTGATTCCTTGCTGTCAAAAAGAAAGCACAATTGACATCTGTAACAGACGCCTTAAAATTGGAATCCCATCAGAGGTTTTCTTGAAGCCTCATTGAAATGCATGCAACTTGTGCATGTAGATCTAATCTGCATTGTGACCGTAGGAAGAAGCAGTAGAATTTTGTATACAGGTAGTCCTCAACTTACAACCATAATTGAGCCCAAAATTTATGTTGTTAAGTGAAAAATTTGTTAAGTGAGTTTTTCCTCATTTTACGACTTCAGTGAAGTTATTAAATTAATAACATGGTTGTTAAGTGAATCTGGTTTCCCCATTGGCTTTGCTTGTCAGAAGGTCGAAGTTCTCAGAAGACGATTACATGACTCCTGAACACTGCAACGGTCATAAATGTGAGTCAGTTGCAAAGCATCCAAATGTAAATCACCATGGGGATGCTACAATGGTTGTAAATGTGAAAAATGTTCATAGGTCACTTTTTTCAGTGATGTTGTAACTTTGAGCAATCAGTAAATGAACTTTTTAAGTCGAGGACTACCTGTACACATACATACACATACAGCTGTATGCACACAATGTGTTAACCAAGTCAGTTACAAACCCAACAGCTGCATTTATACAACATGCTAAGCTTGCTTAACTTTAGCATTTGTTATATCTTTGGTAGCTTAGCGTGCTACAGTATATGAATGGAAGATATTCCATGAGTTTATAGTTTGGGGCGTACACTAAAAAATGGGACATTTCAGTAACCATATTAATTTGTGCAAATACAGACTCTGAATCGGATTCTAATTCACAGACTCGACACAGGCCATTCCTCTATTGATTTCCTTGCAGGACTTGCTTTATTATTGTCAGCATTAGGTGTTTTGTCCCAGCTCCGGATTTCCGAGGATATTGACACACACCAACGGTCCTTATCAAATTTATTAAGTAGCAGGAATAAACCAAAGTCCGGCAAAGGTTGGCAACCAGCCCAGAAAACAAAATACGATAAGACTTTTCCAAAAATGCTCTGATGATAATTACAAGTTGTTTCTAGCAAGAAACTTACTAACGGCGTGTGACTTAAATAGGCTAAGGGAGTGGCCAATTATCCTCAAGCCTTACTCTCGAGGAGACCTCCTCCTCCTGAGTCGCCACTCCTGCCTTTTGGCAGCCCTGCGTGCTCGAGCATTGAGGAGAGGCTCCTCCACTTCGCTCTCTCCACTTGAAGGAGCCTCTGGAGGTTCTGAAGGCCCTAGCTGAGTCTCTGCCTCTGGCACCACATCCTCTTCAGCCTCCTTGCTGTCCGACGCGAGCGCCGGCTGCGCAGGCTGCTGGCGCGACACCACACCAGCCTCCTCATCGTCAGGATCAGCCACGATCCACGCAGGCCACAACATTAGGCCATAAGAGACTGACAACTCAGCTTTCTTATTCAGATGCTCTGAAGGTATCTCTGTACAAGCAGAATATAACCTGTGGATCTTCCAAACTTGTGTTAGGGATGCAGGAAGCTTAGTACAACTGACCATGAATCCATTTACCTCAAATTTGCCAGCACTGGCTGGCAGCAGCTCAGCAAGAGTCTTACCTGGAGATGTTGGTGATTGAACTGGGATTGTTTCCATGCAAAGGTCATGTTTGGTCACTGAGCCACAGCCTGGCAGGCCTTCTGTATATGGTACACAGGTAGTCCTTGACGTACAACCACAATTGAGCCCAAAGTTTCTGTTGCTAAGTGAGACATTTGCTAAGTGAGTTTTGCCCCATTTTAAGACCTTTCTTGCCACAGTTGTTAAGTGAATCACTGCAGTTGTTAAGTTAGGAATCACATTGTTGTTAAGTGAATCTGGCTCCCCCCACCCCGACTTGGCTTGTCAGAAGGTTTGCAAAAGGGAATCACATGACTCTGGGACATTGCAACTGTCATAAATATGAGTCAGTTGCCAAGTGTCTGAATTGTATGACCAAGGGGATGTTGCAATGGTCTTAAGGGTGAAAAACGGTCATAAATCACTTTTTTCAGTCCCATTGTAATTTTGAATGGTCATTAAACAAACTATTGTAAGTCAAGGACTACATGTAATTTGGACAGCGCAAATGTCATTTCCTCAAGTTCTTTCTATAGCTCTCCCTCATCTTGCTATCTTATTTACCTTTAGTTTAATTTTGGCTTTTAGCAACAGCGATAAGATGAGTGCTTTTTAAAGGCCTCCTATCTATGTAGTGAGAGTGTGGGTACAATTTTCTAAATAAAGAAACTGAGGACTGAAGTAAGATTAGTTTTTCTCCCTTCAGTGCAGAATGGACCCAGTTTATACCTCCAACTTCTATATCCAATGTGCATCCACTAAAATAGTCTTTCTCAAAATATGTTACAAGGACACTTGGGGATCCCCCAAGACTTGGCCCCCACTGGTCTGCAAAAATCTAAATTTTGGCTAGCTTTTGTTGAAAAATAATACAATATTAAATCCCATCAAACACTCATGAGAAGTGATAGTGACAGTGACAGTGAATGTGCCAATTTTAATGCATTAATGCATTATGCATTAATGCATTAATCTATGCTACGGCTTGCCTTTAGAAGTTGTGAGTTCTCCATCACTGGAGGCTTTTAAGAAGAGACCGAACAGCCACTTGTCTGGAATGGTATAGGTCTCCTGCTTGAGCAGCGAGTTGGACTAGATGATGATGATGATGATGATGATGATGATGATGATCAGTTAATCTTTAGTGAGATTCACAGCCTTTGAGGCTGGTTAATAGCTCAGCAGCTTGAGTCCTAACCAAGGACCTAGGAACTGTTAAGGTATCGTCGGAGGATATAAGCTGTTCCGAGTAAGGTGGTTTTTTGTAGAGTCAAAATGTTTAAGTCTGGTAAATTTAGAATTTCTAAATAGCGGGGTAGTCCTTTGGGTATTGCCCTAAGGGCTCCAATTACAATTGGGACAATACACAATTTCTTTTTCCACAGTCGCTCAACTTCAATTTGCAAGTCCTGATACTTTGTGATTTTTTCTTGTTGCTTATCTTCAATCCGTGCATCACCAAGTATTGCAATGTCAATGAACTATACTTTTTTTTTTCAACTATTGTTATGTCAGG